GGAAGAGGATATACAGTGGTGCCTCGCACAACAGGTGCCTCACACAACGATGAATTCACACAACAATGCCTTTTTCTGTTAAATTTGCCGCCTCACACAGCAATGTTTCCTATGGGGGATTTTCACACAATGATGTCTCTTTTTCGTTCCTGTAAAAGTGTCTTACAATGTTTGGAAGCCGTTTTAAATGGTTGCAATGGTTAGCCCACCTCCTGAAACCTATGCAAACTGATTTTGGTGTTGTTCTGACACTTCGTTAATTTATGGTAATTTTTTGTTTTCCCCCCTCATTGAACTCCATGCATTTCAATGAGGGGGAAAAACAAAAAATTACCATAAATTAACGAAGTGTCAGAACAACACCAAAATCAGTTTGCATAGGTTTCAGGAGGTGGGCTAACCATTGCAACCATTTAAAACGGCTTCCAAACATTGTAAGACACTTTTACAGGAGCGAAAAAGGACTTCGCAAAGCCATTGAAATGTATTGAGTCGGCTTCAATACATTCCAATGGAGGAAACATTGTTTCACACAGCGATGTTTCCTATGGGGATTTTCACTCAGCGATGGCAATCCGTTCCAATTGGAACGGATTAACCGGTTTTCAATGCATTCCTATGGGAAATGGTGTTTCACAGAACGATGTTTCACACAACGTTGATTTTTTTGGAACCAATTAACATCGTTGTGTGAGGCACCACTGTATATGGAATGTTTAAGCAGACTGTTTTTGTTGACCCAAGTAGCTGATTCTCCTGGGCTCAGACTGTATGGCCAGTGAAGTTATATTATTTATTTGCCAAAATATTAATTTTCAAAAATTAATCTTATGTATAGGCACTAGCCCATGACAGTTCTGTTTCCCACCCATACTATAGGTGAGGAGTATTTATCTAATGCAGTCTCATAATAGTGACAAGGAATCAGAAAAGAATAAACTTCCATAAGTGATGCAGAATTCCACCCATACAGCACACATAATATGATTGTACTTAGCTAGTAAATATGATTTCAGATTTTTTATTTTTATTTTAATAATGATTATTACAGACATGAATTCTAATAAAATAATTGATGTGCATTATCCTATTCTTGTGGTAAAAGCAAGACATTGCCTTAATGACTGTCATTATCAGTTTCTAAATCTTTTTTTCTGCCATAGTGAAAACAGATTCTAGGCTCTGTTCTAGTGGGTGTGGTCCCGTTGGCAGTAGAGCAGTGGTCCCCAACCTTGGGCCTCCAGATGTTCTTGGACT